TTTTAATACTGTATTTCTAAGGAACTTGATTGAATGTGTGAGTGCATCAGTATTGTTTGTATGAGATTTATATTCTTTAAGTAAAAAAACGTTTATTTTAACAACAACAGCCTCGTTATCCTTCGCTGGGAACCCTTGGTGGGAACAGGACCTTGGTATAGTTGGCAAGGACCCATTTATAAATTGCCAATTGCTGTAAATAAAGCAATTCGGCTAACACTGGGGAGGTGGGCTTTAGGGAGGGAAGGGTTTTAAGTAGGGTATAATGCCATAGAGTCCACCCTCCAAAGCGGCCATTCTCTCCAGGGGAACTGATCTCTGTCACCTGGAGACCAGTTGTAATTCCAGGAGATCTCCAGCCATCACCTGGAGGTTGGCATCCCTAGGGCAGGCATAGTTTGGCCTTTTCGTTGACCAAGACATTCCCTAGTGGGAGAGTATTCAGGAGGGCCACTCTGTCCAGGCTCCTCCTCGCAAAGGGGACCACCACCTAGGGTTGCCAACTCTGGTTTGGGGAATTCCTCGAGATTTGGGGGTGGGACTTGGGGTGAGGAGGGTTTGGGATGGGGATGGACCTCAGTGGTACAATGCCCTAGAGTCCACCCTCCAAAGTAGCTATTTCCTCCAGGCGAACCGATCTCTGTGGTCTGGAGACCAGTTAAAATTTCAGAGACCTCCAGGCCCCACCTGGATGTTGGCAAGCCTACCACCACCTCCTTTTCCTAGGCAGGACTGTGGCCTGACCACAGGTACAGCTGCTGCCATTTTTTAGAGGAGAAGGCTCCAGCCTCCTTCCTTATGAAGAGGACAGTCCAGGCCTAGGCACAGCCCTCACCAGGCTAACACGTGGGCCACCATCTATCTGAGAGACAGTGGCCATGAGGACAGGGACACCAGGGTTCTGTCTAGGATTGCCAACTCCAGTTTGGGAAATTCCTGGAGATTTGGAGACTGAGTCTGGGGACAGCAGAGTTTGGGGAGGGGAAGGAGCTCGGCAGGGATGAAATTCCATACAGTCTACCCCCTGGAGCTGCCATTTCTTCCAGCGGAACCGATCTCTGTAGTCTGGAGATTGCTTGTAACTCTGGGAAACCTCCAGGACCCACCTGGATGATGGCAACCCATGCTCCCTCTAAGCTGTGGAGTCTTGTGAGCAAAAATTCTGCTTTGTGAGCTACTGGCATTAAAGTTGTGAGCTACACCGTGAATTAGTTTGCTCTGGAGCCATCCTTCCTGAGCTAAGACAAAAATGTGTGAGCCAGAGGCTAAAAAACTATGAGCTAGCTCACACTAACTCAGCTTAGAGGGGACACTGATGGCAACCCTAGCCCCCACCTCAGTACCGACAGAGTTGACTTGGAAATATTACAGACGTGGTCCCAAAGTGATGTCAAGCTTTCCCCGGGTCTGTTTTCATTTCCCAGTTTGCCCTTAGGAGAGGATAATTTTGACAGGCTAGGAGATAGAGAAAACCTTTTCTGCCTGATTTTTTTTTTTTTTTGCTGCCAGTCATCCACACCCGGATTGGTTTTTTGGGGTGGGCAGTAAGATTCTCAGGTCCTCCATGGCCACTGGTAGGGGATGGGAGGTAGGGTGGCCAGATCCAAGCTAGGAAACTTCTTGAGATTTGGGGATGGAGCCTGGGGAGATCAGGGACCTCAGTGGGGTACAGTGCCATACAGTCCACCCGCCAAAGCATCCATTTCCTCCATCTCTGTAGTCTGGAGATGAGCTGTAATTCCAGGGGATCCCCGGGTCCCACTCCCACCTGGAGATTGGCATCCCTAGGGAGAGTCTGCTGGGTTACTATTACATGCAATTGCATGTAGACCATGAAAAAAATCGGGCGGCGGGGGGGGGAGAGCAAGGTTTTATTTGCAGAAGGTCACACTAGAAACCCAAACCAAAATATAAATATTTGTCCTGTCCTCCTTGCAGATATCAGATGTTTGTGTTCATGTAACCTGAATGCCCATAGGCTCTAAACTGAGATAAAGAAAACTGTCAACAGTAATCCATGGAAAAATAATAATCTGTTAATATGAAGGGTTCCTCCCTTCCAAGTTTAGTATTGCTAATGATAGAGGCACTGCAGAACACAGCCATTAGAGACGTTGTTCAAAGTTTCCCATGGCTTTTTGTATTCTGTGTACTTGATGCTTCTTTTTCATTCTCAGTTTAGTCATTAAGGACTTTTTGCTTGCATTCTTAAGACCTGCGTGAAGGGGAGGGAAATAAGGTGACAAAAGCCCATACGGCTCGACATTTTAGAACTTACTTTATGATGGAAATGCCGATGCAAAACAACAACAATAAAATAGCGTGCATTTCCCCTTTTTACATCTTTCCGCTTTTAAAACTTCCTTCTTATGACTCTTTGAGAAAACCACTCTTCAGATCATCTTGCCCTTCCTTGAAGGAGCTCAGAACGAGCACTTGGCCCTTCCTTATTTATCCTCAGAACAACTCTGTGAGTTTGGTTAGGTAGATCAGAGAGACTGACTGGCCCAAGATCATGCAGGGGGCTTCCTGGCAGAGGCCAGGTCTCCTAGATCTTAGTCCAGCACTTTAGCCCCTATATTACATTGGCCCTACAGTGTATATTTAGAAGACACAGACATTTGGAGGGGGGGGAGGAATGCAAGAATTGGTCAGGCATTAGAGCATAGCTGATTTGCATTAGTGAACACATGCTCAGAGAGGATCTGCAGCTTGCACTGGCCGTGTGTGCTGTGAAAGCTGATCAGAACTCAGCTGTAGTTATACCCAGCATGAATTGCCCTCCCTTCATCCTCAGATTAGATCCCCCCCCCCTTACCTGATAAGCTGACATTAGAGCAAAAAGTAATAATAGTTCCACGTGTTGCTCTCGGAGTTCCTGCTCCGGGTATCTCTTCCAGCTTCAGTTTCTTTTGGTAGCTGCTTAGCTTTCTGGTGACTAGGCTAAGGCGTTCCCTTCCTGCCTCACATTTCCAGTTTCACTACATTGATAATAAACGGCACAGTCATCAAAATGCCCTCATTAACTCTTTGTGAGGCGCACACAGAGAGAGAGAGAGACAATGCCCACATAGTATTGTCTGTGCATACAGACCAGCTCAGAGGGCTTATAGGTTCATCAGGGCTTACTTGACTAAAAGGTCTTGCTTTTGCAAAAAGCCAGTGACAATCAAGGGCTAAAGCAAGCAAACAATGTGTGTCTGTGATCTGTCTTGCTTTTGCAAAAAGCCAGTGACAATGAAGGGCTAAAGCAAGCAAACAATGTGCGTGATCCCCAAACTCCCACCTCATTGGGAGCGTGTAATCTTTAAGTCCCTCCGTGCAACCTTTTAGTGGGGGACTAAAACTTTAGGGCAACCCATTTACACTGCGTCATGCACAACAGAACCTCTGCACTCAAAAGGCTTCTGTGTAGGCATTCACAGGCAATCTCCATGTGTGACAGTTGCATACACATGTATTTTGTTGCATGGACATAAGGTTTAGCTACACTGGGAAATGGTGGCTAATCTTAGCCTTTCAGCATATGTACATGTGCACACACAGAGAGAGCAAAATATGCCCAGGTTGCGTAGTAGTTCTGACATAGATGTATTCCCTGTGTATGGATTTTATGATGTGAAATGCAGCCATTAGATAAAGGTGAAGGGCATGAGACCTTTTTCACAGAGCAGCGAGAGCTCTCTTGTGTGGCCTCTGAATTTTCATAATTTAATTATTTCATATCTGCTTATTTAAATAGGGAGCCTGCAACATCCCGAACATTGAGGGTTTGTCTGAACAGCTCCTATATGGGTTATTCTTCCCTGGCATTACGAAGATATCCTAGGAATCCAGATGTGCAGGGTGCTTTATTTTGCAATGGTTTCTACCAGTCCACAAAATTGTCAGAGGCAGGCTGTGTCCATATCGCTGGATTTCGACACTTCTTCACTGGGAGTGTTTTCCTTACCCGGAACTGTGCACTGAAGCTCCTTTTTAAAAATGACACATACATACTGAGGTTTGAAACACAAAAAAAGCACCCCTTCAGGAAATTCCTGTCCAACATGTTTTATGAGAACTTTAGCACAGTGTTGACACAGTATTTAGCTAATAAGAAAGATATTTGTAGGTATATCTATATTACAAATGTATATCCATTGTATACCAATGTAATAATCATGACTTGCCCTGAAGGGCTCTGGGAATTGTAGTTTGATAAACATACATGGAGAATTCTTTGCCTGGACTACTTCCTGTACTTCTGGGTGTGTATGTAACTGCTCTTGATGGCATGTGTGAAACTGGTGTCTGGGTAAACCCTGGCTCAACCCTCACTCCCAAGAGTACAGAAAATAAAAATAATTTGGAATGCATAAAAATGGTATATTCACAAGTCTAAAAGAATTTTTTAAAAGTTGGTCAACAGACTTCCTGATAGTAAAGAGTACAAAATGCATATAGTTACCTAGGAAAATGTACAACTAAGAAGGTGTCTGGCTGATCCAGGATTAGAGAAAACCGTGGATAGAAAACCTTACCAATAGCTATGATGGCTAAATAGAACTTTCAGTTACAGAAGCAGTGTACGCTATGTGGATAAATGTACTCCACTTTGGGCTACTTTACACTATTGAGAGTTTTGGGGCCACAAAACCCCCACATTAATTCCAAGAAGTTTCTCTGTTGGTACAAGGACTTGAAAAGGGAGAGTGGTTAATTGCTGACAAGCACCTGATCCCTGCTGATGGCTCTCACAAACACCCAGTACTTACAGCTTACTTATGCAAATACTTCTAGCAGGTAGAGAATCACTGAAGGGCCATCTCACTGCCTGGCAGGA